ACACACACACACACACACACCACATCTTTATCCATTCATCTGTTGATGGATCTTTAGGCTGCTTCCATGTCTTGGCTATTGCAAAAATGCTACTATGAACATTGGGGTGTGTGTATCTTTTTGAATTAGAGTTTTCATCTTTTCCAGACTTAAGCCCAGGAGTGGGATTGCTGGATCATATGGTAAGTCTGTTTTTAGTGTTTTAGGAACCTCCATACTGTTCTCCATAGCGGCTGCACCAATTTACATTTCCACCAGCAGTATAGGAGGATTGCCTTTTCTCCACACCCTCTCCAGCATTTATTATTTGTAGACTTTTTGATGATGGCCATTCTGACCGGTGTGAGGTGATACCTCATTGTAGTTTTGATTTGCATATGTCTAGTAATTAGCGATGTTTAGCATCTTTTCATGTACCTGTTGGCCACCCGTATGTCTTCTTTGGAGAAACTTCTATTTATGTCAACTGATTTTTTGATTGGGTTGTTTGTTACTGAGTCATATGAGCTCCCCTGTGTTTTATGGAGACACATTAGTCAAGGTAGGAGAGGACATACTTTATCTACAATTTGTCATCTTGATTTATAATTATTTAACATTTCAATAGATGGTGTGAGAGTCTCCATCCATACTCTTGCTCCAGACCTGGCAAATGTGAAGAGAAGGCTGGCCTTTGAATGGTCAATTTTATATCGCAGAGCTTTGAATGGTCCGCTGCTGCTGCTGCTGATCTATTTACTAGTTTGTCGCCTAGCACACGAGTTAAGTGAAATTAATGACTAAGAAAAAACAAAAGTGAAGAATAAGAAACTAAAGAAACTCTATAGTTTCTTTTTTCCACCCTGTGGGTTTTGGAATATGGTTATCAGTCTCCAAGAAGCTTTTCCCCTACGTGGGTAATGATGATGATGCTTCCTGTGTGCTGGGCCCCCTTCTGCTACTTACATTAACGAGTCTCATCATTACAGAAAGGACATAGGTGGGCCCTGAAGGAACAGCCTCCCTGTAATATGAGGAACCCGGGACGTCAAGAGGGTGATTTGTACGTGGTCACACGGCTGGGCAGTGGAAGAAGGGACTGGAGGCCAGGCAGGGGGCGGTAGAGTCCCCGCCAAGTGTTGTACAGGGTGTTTGTCTACCGAGCTGTCTGCACAAATGTCTGCTTGCAAGCTATTTGCTAGCAACTTTCTGCTCTTCACCAACCGTTAACGTGATCCGAGCCCTAGCCACAGTCGCGGGGTCAGCTTGGGTTTTCAAGTCAGGGGGTTGTTCTTCCGTCAGGGTTGAGCATACTTGCTTAGTACTGTGAGTTTTGTCTTTGTCTTTTTTGTGCTTTGTTTTGCTTTAAGTGCTGGTAGGAGAAAAAGTTTAGCACAGTGCTGGCACTCAGCAAATTCTGGAAAGAAGGGAGGGAAGGAGAGAATGCACCTTGTAAAATTAAAGCAATCTGAGACCAAAGACAAAAATGATCACGTGAATCACTCCCGCCCGGCCTCCATTCTCTATCCAAGGGGCGGGGATCGCGGGGTAGGCTTCTGATCTGGCCCTCAGAGAAGGCCCCCGCCAGGAGGAGGGCCAGGGTCTCTCTCGTGAGAACTCTGAATAGTGAGGGGAGAGAAAGACGCCACTCACGCGGCGGAGAGGGCTGGGGACCGATCCCACAAGGCCGCCTCTCCACTACCTACCTGCAGCCTCGGCCCACCCCCTCCCCGGACGCCCCGCCCTTCCAGGCTGGCTGCCCCGCCCCTCCACGGCGTCCCGCCCCTTCGGGCCAGCCCCCCGCCCACTCGCG